CCCCTTAATGATTATGGGTTGGCGATCATCATAGGATCACGTGGCCGTGACATCTATGTTGAAGTTATTGTTTTGACTCTGCATACTGACTAATGATATAATCGATACGCTATCGGATGAGTCATCCGGAACAATTAGCCGTTAGTAACTTGTTCAGGGTTATTCCACGATTGGTGATACTGTGGTTTGAACACAGTACCTTGTGAATATGTGTCGAATAACATATCCACTCAACCACGGCGGCTCAGTTCAATGATATATTACTAAAATTGAACATTGATCGACCTCTGACGTTTAATAATTATACGAATTACCGTGAAAAAGTTATTAATTCACCTGTAAAAGAAAAAATACCAATTGATTATGGAAAGAAAATGTTTGTTCATTTTACTTGTTGTTCAAGTATGAAAACATTTCCTTCAAAATTGCATGCTCTTTGGTATGAATACTTTGGTCAATCTCCAATCAATGAAATTATACCTGTTCTTGGTACACGTAACGTCAAAAATTTACAACGACGTTTGACACATACAAGATCAATAGATACTGACAATTAAGTACCTGATTCTATTGGTCCAATTTAGTCTATTTTGTTGTCCTCATTTACAAATGCTCAATTATGTTAATATTGTTCGATTACGACTAAAAATCGAATTAAGCTTATAACAGCTTAGCAATCCTGGTTCTTACAATACAAAATCAATCTATTTACATATCAATATTCTGGTTGTGTTTTATTATCTTTAATTAAAATAAAAACAAAAATTACAACGACAACCATGTGGACAATTATATTTTTATTAATTTTAAGTTAGAACGTTACAATGAAAATTGAAATTAGAATGATATCTAATGCAAATTATGATCCAATTACAAAATTCAATTGTGAATATTTGCATTATTTCAATAGAAATATCTTTTTACATTACAAACACGACAATATTAATAAACTTAAAAGTTTTTATAATTCATCTTTGCCTGTTTGTATTTCAAAAATTTGAATTGTATTTCAATCTATGTAATTTACTTAATCTTAATTAATTCTATGTAAATAGTTCATTTTACTTAATTAGTTCATTTGATTCTTTAAAAGTAGTTTTGTTATCTTTTTCTGTGCAATGTTCTCATGACTTGTACTTATTTTAGCTCTATACGTAGAATTTTTCTTCTTTATCTTGTTTATTTAATTTAATTTAAATTCTGTGCTTTTTTATTATAATGCAAAGCCCTGATGATTGTTTCTTATTATTAAATAAATACATGAAACGCGTCGGCAAAATTAAACTCTGCATTTCTTTTAATTCAATTATTTTAATTCAAGCACATTTAAATATAAAGATATATTATATACTAATTTTCGACTTAAATCGATTGCTGAAAAGCAAACGTTGAGACTAGCAGATTGATTTATCTTTTCTATACAAGATAGGTTGATCTGTTTTTAATTAATGAATGGGAATAGGGAAAGTTCGCAGAAATTTGAAAGAAACCAAGTTTGAGCGAAAAACTAAAACTATCCGTCGAAATATAGAATTTTATTTTCGTGACATCCACAGTCAAATAATAACATAAAGACAGTCAAACGAAGCGATATGAAATTTTTCGAAAGCTACGTCTGTTTTAAATAGAAGTTGGCATCGAGCTTTCAGCGAATCAAGTTATATTCTGAAAGCAGTTTCTTGACCCTAGGCGTGCGGGGTACTTCTCCTCAAGCTTTTCTTTTTACCACTGCGGTATTCGG